TCCATACTAAAAATCCTCAGCGAGGCGACGGACCGTTGTTTCTTCATCGTCTGAGTCGCTGTCGTTCATTTCTTCCCTTCGAACTGGGATCTTCTTCTTCTGCGGGCATGCTCTTGTGAGATGGCCTTTTTGGTGACACGTGAAGCATAGTCCTTTCTTCATATGGTCACTTCTTTCAGCTTCAGTAAGCCGGTCTACTTCCATGGCGTTTGGGTCGTGTCGGTCAATGGAAGGTCTGGGTACATAGCGCTGTCCAGAGGGTTTGGTGGTGACCCGATGATTGGATCTGAATGCGACACCCCTCTGGTAGTTGCTATCAAGCCTGACGACTGTGGCGATGTATTTGTCGAAGTCTGTGGGGATGGTTTCCATTTGGTAAACGGAGTTAACGATTCCCTTTTTCAATCCGTCATTGAGGAACGTGATTAGGACGGCATCTTGCTTGACACCGGCTTGCGCGGCGAGGGTCTTGAAGCTGGCGATATAAGATGTAATATCGCCTGTCTGTTTCAACGTCCTAAGTTTGTTCATGGCGGTACCGACAGCGTCAGCAGGTACAAAGGCTTCTTTGAATTTGGTTTCAAAATTCGCAAAGGTCCCGTAAGTCTTGGCGACGGTGTTGTCGACTTCTGTGTAGAAGGTGAGTGCCCAACCCATAGCACTGTCTTCTGTCATATATGCGAGAGCGGTAATAACCTTCTTCTCATCGGTGTTGTAGATTGTAGCATTAAGCGCGAAGTACGCTTTTATTGCATACAACCAACGTAGTGCCTGCTGAGGGCTCCCATCATAAGTGGACGGAGCTCCGGCTTTCAATTCTGGGGTGTTGGCAACGGTGGACATTCTGAGCGTCTGGTCTAGTAATGTCTTCTGTTCAGGGGAACGTTATTCGTTCTCTCGCTGAGTTCTTTCTAGGTTCTGTAACCTCTTTGATGAGAGGGTCGGTGGTGGACTTTAATCTTTTGTTACGGCGAACCGTAGGTCGACTAGGATAGGCGCGACAATAGGTACTCGATAAGAGTACGCCTAAAGCCGGATCGTGTCCTCACGAATGTAAGGTTCTTAAGACAAGTCAGAGAGAGTGTCTCTGGCTTGAATATCGGTTATCAGACGACTTAAGATTGGGGATCTTAAGCGAAGGATAGTTCAGGTAAAACCTAGTAGATTAAAGTGAAGACTACTCTAAGTACCAGACCTGTTTATATAGGTAAGGCCTACTTTAGGGCCGGTACGTATACGTCATCGAGACGAGTCAGAGATAAGAGGAATGACGTCATCAAGATGAGTCATAGATAAGAGAAATGACGTCATCAAGACGAGTCAGAGATAAGAGAAATGACGTCATCAAGACGAGTCAGAGATAAGAGATGAGTCAGCTAACGACGGCATGTGGCGGTCGTGCTGTAATACAGATGTAGACGATTGTTAGTCTAATGATGGCACATCCTGGTGCGGTCATGACGTAATACACATGAGTGAAGAAAAAGAGATAGGGGGTAACCGCTATTGTAACACCAGCCTCTTCCTCAACATCCTTGTCAGCATCATCCAGAGTAGAGACGTCTGCAATCCAGAACCTGTTCTGGATCCCCTCCAGGAGGATGGACTAGAAGTCCCTCTGCTGCTGGATGAAGTCCTCCATGTTAGTATTCATCCGCTCCATAACCAACCTACTCCCTTCTGTAGTTCCAATACTCTCCTGGAGAAGTCCATTGGTCCAGGCCAGTTCCACTACTATGCTGTTAGCAGCAGCAACCCAGGCCTGGTCATCATACTCCACACTCCCCTCATCCATCTCTATTCTGGTCTGCAGATTGGAGGCATCCTCCACTTCCGGCTCCTCAGGGGTAGGGCTCTTCTGACGTCTCTTACCCTTGGATTTTGGAGACGGAGTCACCACAGTGTGCTGCCTCTTCCGCTTCGGTTCCCTGGGCTTGTCTGCACTTCTGGGACAGGAGGCCCTATCAACCCTGCAGATGTCACAAGACTTGATCTATCTGGATATCAGTACACCCAGTTCCGGATGTCTGAGACAAGGAATACCTCACCAGTGCATTAGACTTGGCATCCTCCCAGGAGCACACCTTGCTCTTATTGACACAACAAGTGCAGGGTGCATCCTGAGCTCCAGACATAGAAGCAGACTGAGACTAGCATATCCCTTGGTTCTGGATCTGATAGAGGTATCATCACTCACCCTCCTGGCCACCTCAGCCCTCCACCTCTTCTCTTCCTGTGCTACCTGGAGCTCAGACTGCTCTATCCGCTTCCTCTCCTCCTCATGTTTCTGTTCCACTTCCTGACACATCCACTCTGCTTCCTGACACTTCCTGACACTTCCGCTCCTCTTCCTCTTCCTCTCTCTGAGCTGCAGCCTCTGTGAGTGCCATCTGGCAAAAGTTCCACAAGAGTCTCCCTAGCGGATTTCTGACCACTGGATTTATGGCCAGACATGATATTTCAAAGCTAGTATAAGTGGGTGAAGTGGGGAAAGGAAGGAAGACCTAGGATGCTTTGGCATCTGTATATCTGTGGAAACCCAAACTCACAAACTCCATCCATCAGCTTTTCCATTGATTCTCGCCCTCATATCATCTGGTCCAGATCATCAGATCTTGTGCCTCTAGGGATCGGCCCTAAAGGGGGGATACTGTCATATCTGCATATCTGGATCTCAGATCCAATCCACATCTTATCTCCCTCCAACATCTCATCATCCAATCTGTCCACTTGTCCAGTTCAGTCCACAATTCATCTGAATCCACAACCAGTGCTCATCTCCTTTTGGTAATCCCCTAACTCCAGTATTTCAGCTATCTGTATATCCATCCTGCTCCCTGATCTGTTATCTATGCTTCATTTCTATTTCATGATTTGTGATCCATTTCTACTTACCAATAGACTATCCATATGCTTCATACATAGCCTCGGTGAAGGTTCAACTGCTCTGCTAGGCTGCAGAGCAAAAGAAAGAAAGAGAACCTCTACCTCTGGGGTGAGAGGAAGGCTACTGACTCTCTATATGTTGGTTGAAATGCACTGAGTGATATGTTCGACCCTTAGGGGAAGCAAAGAAAGCAAGATCCACAAAGTGACTCCAAGTCAACTCTGGTGAAATGCACTGAAAGCATGTGTGCAGGAATGTTGAGCATGTAGGTGTGCAAAGCATGGGAATAGAGCGTGTGTGGTGCATGGACGTGTAAAGACTGAAAGATGGTGTGAAGATGTAAACTGAGGCTGCTGAGTGGTGACTGATGATAGTAGATTCTAACTGAGAACTAGGGTGACGACTAATGCATGCTGGCTGAAGATAATAGATTCTCACTCTAGAGACTAAGTGACATGATGGTGGTTGGTAGCTGAAAACTTCCTAGGCAACAGGTAAGCTATGCCTAGGCATGCTCCCAGGGCTTGGAAGCAAACAGGGAGTGCTCTAAGTATGTAAATGATGTAACTAAGGGTCCATGATGAAATATAGTGTCATATAATGCTAAATATGGTCTGATAATGAGAATAAACAAGAAAGGACGCACCAGGGGACTGGTTTGACAATGGATGGATGTGCTGGGACACTGCACGACAATGTGCAACTGAGCATGGGAAGAGCATGCTAAGTGTGTGTGCAGGAATGTGTCGCACCTCTGGTGCATTTCGCAGGAAAGTCATAGCTAGTGAGTTGCACACTATACCAATCATTGTGAGTCATAATATGGGTGATCTATGCCTGGAGGAATCTCATTCCCTACATTGGACTCTGCTGATTGATCATTCCATTAGATACCTATAGTATATAACCTCCTGTAACTCTCTGTAGCACCTCAGTTCAAATATCAACTTAGTTCTGCTCATTCCTGTCCTCTGGACCTGAGTATCTCTACTCTTGTCACCCTCCGAGACTTAGGATTGATTCCTATAGTCTATCCACATCCGCCTCTGTCTACAACAGTCACTACTGCTAGTTTCTAGTCCGGACTTGTCTGGATTAGCCTTACAATACTTATCCCACATCCAGAAGTCATCCAGATCTGCTACGCTACCCATCTGACCCTCTGGACACGTTAGTCTTGCCTTCCTGAAATAAGGGGCAATACTTGAGTAAGGGGCACAGTGCATGAGCTGAGGCCAAAGCCCTTTGGATCCAGTTAGCCCTTGAGTATGACCTTAACAACCACCAGAGTTAGTCAAGTGCACAGCTATAATGGTCATAGCTCAGAAGGCCCACAAGACAAATGGCCTATCAGAGGAAGTGTTAAAACAAAGGGTTAATGATCAATGCAGGAGTGTGGGAAGAGTCCCAGCATTTGAGCTACTGGAGCATGAAATACTGCAGGTACAGGACACTCCAAATCCAAATGAAGGACTGCAGAAATGGAGAATATGCCAAAATTTTGCCCAGCTGAATAAGGTCACAGAAGTAGCACCAATGATACAGGGAGACATCTTGGCCAAACAACAGTGTCTTAGCAGGCACTGTTATATCTCAGTTCTTGACTTTGCAGCTGGATACTACACAGTAGAGGTGCCAGAACAATGGAGACCATACCTGGCATTCTATGTAGAAGGATGAGGCTATTTTTGGTACAAGAGAATGCTGCTGGGGATTACAGGAGCACCCACAGCATTCTGCGAAGTGTTAGCAGCAAGACTGCATGACCTACTGGTAATGTACTTCATGGAATTGTTCATGGATGATGGAGGTTGCACAGCTGATACATTCAGGGATATGATGGACAAGTTGGCCATTATCTTCACATGGTTCAGAGAGTGTGGGTTCTCAATAGCTCCAGGAAAGATGAAATTCTGCATATCAGAGACAGAATTCATGGGAGGTACAATTGGGCAAGAAGGGGTAAAACTGGATCTAACCAAGCTCACAGCAATCATAAATTGGCTGAAATCAGTGAATGCAATGGGATGGTCCTTTGCAAGACCTACTACTCAAGGTCCCACTAGATAGCTCATATGGCAAGACTGCATACCGGAAAGCAATGACTGATTTTCAACTTGATCAATATTGGAAAATAGAACACACTAACACATTTTTAGACCTCAAGGCAGCTATTACAGCAAGACTGATGCTGCAAGCACCAAGGTACAACAATTCAATATTCATTGTAACATCAGATGGGTGTATGTTACAGACTAGGGTAGTTGCGACAATAACAGCTTGATAAGAGCAACAGCTAATATCAGTTCAAGACCTTGCAAATACAAGGGTCATAAGACAAGGCAAGGAGAGTGTCCTCGACTTGAATGTCGGTGTTCAGACAACTTAAGATTGGAGGTCTTAAGCAAAGGAAGTTCCAGGTAAAACCTAGTAAGATTAAAGTGAGGTTCTACAGCATATCAAGTAGACTATATATAGTGGCTACAAGTACTTTAGGGCAGGCATGAGAATAGAGGTGAGTCAGAGATAAGAAGATGAGTCAGAGATAGCAAGAATAGGTCACCTAGCGATGGTGATAGTGATCATGATGTAATACAATGTGAGTCAGAGATAAGACAAGTCAGAGATAAGTCTAGTGGTGGTGATGTGCAGCATGTGATGTAATACAAAGTAAAAGGAGAGAAAATGAATAGGGGCATACTAGGGGCATACATGACTGTAACAGTGTATAGAAGGATTTGCAGCAGTTTTGTCACAAAGGGTGAAGGTACAGACACCTACTGGAAAATGGGTCAAATGTATACACCCAATAGGTTTCACATCAAAATGGACATTGCAAACAGAAAGAAAGTACAAATCCTATTTATTAGAGTTCACAGCATTAAAATTCAGGTTTGATAAATTTTCAGGGATAATATGGGGCTTCCTGGTTGAGGTCAAAATGGACTGCAATGCATTAAAGGATACTTTACTGAACCCAATGCTAAATGTGGCACATGCATGTTGGATAGAGGGTATATTGGCATATAATATTGTGGATGTAAGGCATGTCCTGGGGAAGCTGAACATGGTTGCAGATGGACTCAGCTGCAAATGGGAAGGAATACCACCAACTACAGGAGACAGTAGCAAGTGGATGGTAAGTAGAGATTGGGAGGCTTAGACAGGACTGGCAAATGATGTGATGCTTGTGATATCAATGGACCCAACAATAGAGAACCTGTGAATAAGATTTACTAATGAACCAGTGTTTCTAGAAGTTATTGAGGTGATCAGTAACCTGGACCAAGATAAGGATGTATGGGAAAAATAATGAGCCAGACATTGAGTGCTACAGTATATCATTGAAGATGAAAAATTGTGGCACTTGAAAGGGGGAATGGAAACCAGAGCATGAGCTAAGGTAGAATGTATATCAAAGGAAGAAGCAAAAAATTTAGCAGAAAAAGAACACACTGAAGGGGGTCATTGGGGGAGAGATGTGGTGAAAATGGCATTATTGGATCAGATTTGTAGCCCAAAGTTGGACACTTCAATAATGGAGGCTATACAAAACTGCGCTAAGTGTAAGAGTTTCAGATCAACACATTTGCACTCACTATTGGAACCAATTACCAGGAGACACCCATTTGAGTTATTAGTAGGCAATTATCTAGCACTCCCTAAAGGGAAAGGCAGATATAGCACACTAAGAGTCTACCTCATTGTATTTTTGCAACATACTTTGGTATTCAAGTACAAGATGGCAGGCAGTGCAAAGACAATGATGAATAGTCTCAATGGCATCTTCAATGCATTTGTGCCATTGGAAACCTTCATGATGGACAGTGGAAATTACTTTAACAACAATGCAGTACAAGCATTATATGAAGCATGACAATGTAAACTGCATATCATGGCAGCATACTCACCATGGGTAAACAGCCTGGTTGAGGGAACTAATAAGCTATTGCTACATGTTTTAAAAAGGTTGTGCACACCAGATATAGGAGAAGATAGTGAACAACAAGGAGTATCTTGGGACAAGCTCCCAGTGAAATGGCTGGACTACTTGGATGACACAGTTCATGCTTTGAACCACCATTTGTTGCCAGCACTAGAATTCTCTCCTGTCAAGGTTGTACTGAAGGCTAAATGAATCCAAAGGGCTTTGGCCTTAGCTCATGCACTGTGCCCCTTACTCAAGTATTGCCCCTTATTTCAGGAAGGCAAGACTAATGTGTCCAGAGGGTCAGACAAGTAGCATAGTGGATCCAGATGACTTCTGGATGCAGAATAAGTATTGTAAGGCTAATCTGGATGAGTCCAGACTAGAAACTAATGGTAGTGGACTGTTGTAGACAGAGGTGGATATAGATAGACTATAGGAATCAATCCTAAGTCTTGGAGGGTGATGAGAGTAGAGGTACTCAGGTCTGGAGGACAGGAATGAGCAGAACTAAGTTGATATTTGAACTGAGGTGTTACAGAGAGTTACAGGAGGTTATATACTATAGGTATCTAATAGAATGATCAATCAGCAGGGTCTGAGGCTATGTACAAAGCATATGGATAGTCTATTGGTAAGTATAAACAAATCACAAATAATGAAACAGAAATGAAGCATAGGTAATGGATCAGTGAGCAGGACAGATATACAGATAACTGAAATACTGGAGTCAGGGGATTACCAAAAGGAGATGAGTGCTGGTTGCAGATTTGGATGGATTGTGGACCAGACCAGATGAGTGGGCAGATTGGATGATGAGATGTTGGAGGGAGATAAGATGTGGATCAGATCTGAGATCTGGATATGTGGATATGACATCTCCCAAGGAATTGCTTCTTGGCCTTGTGATGAATACACCAAGAACAAAGATCAAGGATAGTACTTCAACACTTAGGCAATCAGACATGTTGACACAGATGGCATACATGGAGCAACAATGTTTGGATGGCTACAAGGAGGCAGTCCATAATGCTATCAAGCATAAAGTGATGTTCAATAAGAAAATTCTATAGAGAATGCCTGGTGAGGTTATTTTTAAAATCAGTCAACTGGTTCAAGTATATCATAATGATTTAGACTATACCTTCAAAACAGAATGGAAGCTAATACCAAAATGGTCAGTTCCACACCAAATTCAGTCAAGAAACCTCAACTTGTACAAACTGGAGATGTTGGAAGGAAGACCAATGCAGGGAGAATTCAGTGCAAGACATTTGAGAGCATTTACTCCCAGGAATGGTACTCAATTGGTGAAGAAGCAAGAGATATGTGAAGCAGAGAAAAGAAATAAAGAAAAACTAGAGAGTGGAGGAGAGGAGGAAGATAATGACAAAGAAGAGGAAGATGAAACAGAGGATGAAAATGAAAGGGAAGAAGGACTGGTAGAGGGAGATAAGAATGGAGAATAGAGGAGAGTGGCATCAAGGGTGGCATGTGTTCTTTTTGGGGGGTGCATGGACTAGGGGTCTCATGGGTAGCAGAGACAAGTAGTGATGCATTGGGCCTGGCCTGTGAGTTGGACAGGCCTGAGCCTGGGGCTCAGGCCCAGGCTTCCTAGTTTGGAAACACCTGTGGCATATTCCATCTTGATGTACAGTTTATGTGCCACTGGTGAGTGATTCTTTGTGTGACTAATCTACTGGCAGAACATGATATACCATACTGATGCCTCTCACAGTGATCTCTGATGATGACACACCTGCCACCATCACTGTGTGAGCTAAGTGCACTATCATTCCATCATCTTGTCTTACTGACTCTAACAACACCACAACACCAGAACTCTGCAGTCACAAAAACATTCAACAGACTCTCCAATCTATGGCTATCAGCAACTCATTTGACACCAACCCAAGAAATGCTGGCAAGTGCAATTTGGCAGATGCAGACTGGACTCCTTCCTTGACAGAAGACTTAGTGGAGTTGTCCAGTGAAGGAGATGAAGCCACAGGCCACAAAGGTATGTTGCAGCCTCTGCATTTGTATACTCACTCTTCAATTCTATAGGCAAACACCTTCATCAGACTCACAATCCATCACTTATGGATGATGCAGAAGAGACTCCAAGTACTCGCAATGCAACACCTGCAGCCATGGACAATTTTTTGTCCAACATCAACATACAGGACATATCAATGACACCTGTACTTCAATGTGAGGAGAGGAGCCATGATGTCAGTGCATTTTTTGGCAAACCCTATATACACAAGGCCAAGGATGGGAAAACATGTTCAGTCCAAGACTGTGAGTTGTGCAAGTAAGTGTATACTCTTTCTTCACTATTCCCACTGACAGAGTCGCAGAATGAAAGGATACCCATGCCAGATCATTAGTGACACATCAACATGTCAATGTCATATTGCATTCTGGCATTCAGTAAGTCAATTTTTCATTCTGATACTTGACACTCTAACATTTACTACAGAATAATTGTCATCAATGGTGCAAGACTAATAACTTTGAGTCAATGTTGCCTCAAGATATCAAAGAACAAAAAACAGCAGTGGCTATTACAAATGTGCAGCAAACAAGTCTCAACAGCCATCTGCAAGAAAATCCTTCTGTTGACATTGTTGTCCTGTACATGAACACAGTCTTTCGCAAAGCCACTATTGAGTGGCTAATTTCCACTAGCCAGGTAGGTGTTGATTTATTGTATTTACAGTGATTTTTGATTATTTTGTAGCTGATTCAAGCAATTGACCACCTGAGCTTCCAGAAGATGATTGCTGTAGCAGCTCATGCTATGAGTGGTGTTGTTCTGCCAAATTGTAACACTACACACTGCAAAATCATGAATTTATTCAAGAAACAGATGATGAAGTTAAAAGAACACCTGTTAAGGTCACATGCTCAAGGGGGTTGGATCACAAGGGCTTGGCCTCAGTTCATACGCTGTGCCCCTTTCCCAAGTATGTGCCCTTAATTTCTGGGGGCTAGAACAGTTGTCCAGAGTTTCTGGGATTTGACTAGGGTGGACAACGGATGTCCAGATCTGAAACATGAGATAAATCCAACAGATGTCTGGATGTTATTTGGACAAGTAGATAAGGCTAATCTAGATGAAGTCTGGACTAGAAACTAACAGGGGATAGACTACCCTAAGGTAGAGCTGGAGATGTAGTCTAGGATACAATCCTAAGACTTGGAATATGACAAGAGACTTGGCTCGAGTCTGGAGGACACAGGAATGAGCAGGAACTAAGATGATATTTGAATTGAAGTATTTCTGAGAGTTACACGAGGTTTATATACTGTAGGTATCATATAGGAATCAGTCAGCAAAACACAAAGGCTATGTATGAAGCATATGCAAAGTATATTAGTAAGTAGGACAGATCACCAATAATGCATATCAGAAATGAAATGTATGTAACAGATCAATAATCAGAAGGGAAACATAGTTAACCAGAGTCCAGAGACAGGGGAAGTCTAAATGGGGTTGGGTGCTGATATAGGGTTTGGATTCCGGAAGGAAGATAAAGATAGATCAGATCATTGGAGATCTGGATCTTGGATCTGGATATCTGGAGAAGCAGATTTAGAGTTGAGGGTCTGGAATGGCATATGACAACACCTCAATGTAAGTTTTCCCTTGTATTATTTTAAACTAATATTTCATACTGATGTTGCAAACAGAGCAAGCTCATGTCCAGTGCTGTCAACCTGACATGCAATGCATGGCAGGCCAGTAATGCAGATGGCTATTTTGCCACTACCAGCCACTGGATCAAGGAAACATCACTCAGTGTCTGGCAGCTTGAATGTGCCATCCTTGGATTCACACAACTGAATAACTCCCACAATGGACAACATCTTGGGCAGGCTTTGTTCAAGATAGTGGATCAAGTGGGCATTGCTCATAAGGTAAGGTGTTAAGGTGTTAAAATCTTGGTGCAGTGCTCATGTGGGTATTAGATTGGCCACATTACATGTGACAATGCCTCAAATAATGACACAATGCTTGATGAATTGGCACATCAGATAAAGCAAGGGACCAGGACAATGTGGATCCCAAAAAAGCAGCATATCAGGTATAGTTGTGTTGTGATTTGTTTTGTAATTCTACTAACATGGAACTTGAAGGTGCCTGGCTCATGTTATTCACCTTGCAACACAAGCTGTCATCTCTTCATATAGCAATGCCCCATACTATAATCCTGAGCATCCTGATTTGTCTATCCCTCAAGCCCATGGCTGTCGAGATGAAACTGGTCTTGTGCGAGCCATTGCAGTCAAGGTTTGTCATTTTCTTGAATTATTTGACTATCATTCAAGCAACTATATCAGGCATGATCCTTGGCTCAATGAAAGCAACTTTGGAAGGACATCCAGACCCATGCACCTAACCCAAGCCCTGTTGTCTTGCAACTGTTACTCAACATGCCCATCCAATGGTCCTCAACTTATGTAATGCTTGACCATGCTGAGAAGAAGAGACCTGTATGTATGATAATATAAATGATGAGTCAAAACTAACTATTGTTCTTTAGTATGTTGATACTTTTGTCTATGAGCTTGGCCTTCATGAGGCAAACCTTGCGAAACAAGCCAAAATTGATCAATTGAAGCTGCATGAGGATGAGTGGGCTCGTATTACTTTATTTACATCTCTCCTAGCTGTGAGTAGGAAGTTCCCTTCATAACTTAAGCTGATGATTACTTTAGCATGCCAACAAAGCTCAGCAAAGTTTCTCATCTGATAGGGGGGCATCCCTTCACCTTGCTTTGCCAGCTCTCGAGGCCTTACACAAGGCCTGGTTGACACATTCCAAGAATCCCAAGTATGAGTCATTTCATTGAGCCCTACAAGGAGGTATTGCAAAGATCCACAAGTATTATGACCAAAGTTTGGAGTGTGATGCATACATTATTTCAATGTATAGGTGATTAGTGGCTTATAGTAATGTTGATATTCACTGTATTTAGTGCTCAACCCATCCCAGAAGGACTCTCACATCAAACATTTTTGGGGTAAGGCCACACATGCCAAGGCTCTCAAGGAAGCCAAATGAATGGTGGGTCTTCTGTTTCAAGATATTATATATGCTTACATCTATGCTAGTTTAGGGAAGAGTATATTAAGTTGTATGGCAAGCATGGTGTTCCATCATCACCAAAAAAGAAGTCTGGTAAGGTACATCAACTTCTTCAAGAGCTCTCTAGTGATGACAAGAGTGGTGATGATGAACTGGAAGAGTCAGAAGTGGATCCCCAACTGCCATGGCTAAGAGAGTTCTACCTCTACCTTAACTCACCTACTCTAGTTCCCAATAACATGCCTATCATTCAGTGGTGGGGGTAAGGTATCATTTTATGTCAACTGAATTGTTGCTGATCTAGCTTAATGTTATAGGTGAATGCTCATCAGTACCCTGTATGGGCATCCCTTGCCCATGATCATTTGTCTATCATGGCTACTTCAGTTTCGAGTGAGTGAGCTTTTTCTGCTGCAGCTCTGACTGTTGCAAAGTGTCGTAACTGCTTGAAGGGTGATGTTGTGGAGGTGATTCAGGTGCTTCGCATGATGTACCAATGTGATTTGATCTTCCGAGAGGCTCCTACTTCGACTTTAGAGTTAGCATCAGAGGGACTGGATGATGGCAAGGAGGGGGACATTTCAGATGTATCAGATGTTGAGTCTTGAGTCTAATTGTCTGGTAGTGAAATATATGTTTTCACACATTTTTAACTCGTGAGCCCTGGCCCAGGCCCAAGCCCTCCTAAAGGGCCTGGCCTGAGTTTTTTCCAGGCCCGAGCCAGGGCTTTCAGGCCAAGCCAGGCCCGATGCATCACTAGCCGTGGGACCCTTCTCCTCGTCTGAGACGAGGAGAAGGGTCCCACGGCTGTTTCCGAGGCTTAGTCAGACAAGGCAGACAAGTTCGCAGAGTAGAGCACCACACTCACTCAGCAGCACATAGCATAGAGCCACACTGTCCTATCTCAGCGTCTTACTAGGATCCAAACCTCTAGTGGAACCTCGTCGGGTCGACCTTACGTCAAGGTAAGCACTAATTATAGCTCGGTTTAAGTTAATTTCTTGTGCATAACCGTCAATTTAGCTCGTCATCTTGCTCAATTGTCGCCCAATACTCTTCAGCAAGATATATCACACAGTAGGCGTCACTTCAACTGAACTATGAACACGAATCATGCATGTCGTGTTCTGCGTAAACTGCTGACCATGCTCCGAACCATGGTGATCAGGCTTTCCAGACAAACTCAACATCCATATTATATTCTGCAGCGTATACTCGGCATTTTGACTTCCAGATTTATGCATTCAAGTGCTGCACATGCGAGTGGCGGTACTGGTTGTCATAAACATGAATGCCGCGAGCAATGCAGTGACGCTGATACTTCATCAGTACTGACCATCCTCCCAAGCCTCTGCCACCCCTCCGAGTCTAGGCACTCAACAAGCCAGCACTCGGAACACACTCGCGCGGATAACTCGCTTACCGAAGAAGTAGAGTCTAACTATGTCTCTGTGTCCATTGGCACTTCGCTGCAGGACAGTACCCCTCTAACTATGAAGCCAATGACCGCAAGTGACGTCCGACGTTATAGCAAAAAGTCTCAAATGTAGGTCTTGAATATGAGCTTTGTTCAAATCTCATCTAGAACTTCATCCCGCAAGTCATTGGCAGAGGACAGATACAGATTTCCAGATCTCACCAGGCCAGAAAGATTTTTCTGTGTTGTGCGTCAATCCACATACAGTCTAAATGTGCAACATGAATACCAACTCACTTCCGGCAGTCCGGAGAAGTTCGAATCAGGCGATATTACTTGGAACTGTCATATCCATCCGCACGGCACACTATACTTCTCCAGCGATTTGGTTAGTTTGTCTCCAACGTGTTTGTTCACATACTTACTCCCTCAGCTAACATGGAAAGATCCGGATATGGAGACAAACGAGATTGAAATCACGGTGTACACAGATGCCGACGTACGCGAGCGGCCGAACTCTGATGTGATCGCTTCCTGTGTAAGAACGCTCCTTGAGCAAGCGCAACTCGCAGGTCACCTTGAAGGCACACTTATGGAGCTCACTGTTGATTTATCCACGAACGACAGTGGGGAACTAGAATGCCAATACTATTTTGTTGCACCTGATCAGCGGATTTTGTTTTGGGAGGCCCATTTTGAGGCGAAGCATTTGTTTTGCGGGGTCAAATGCGTTACGAGCAGTCATATTAGTGTGTTTTTTCTTCTGTTCTGGCGACACTGTATAACTGTTGTATAGAATATGCCATAGAGGCCGAGTATTGGTACGCTGTGTGGCCGAGGTAATATTTTTGCTAGCCTCCCGTAAATGAACAGATCTAAATCTCCTGTTCTCAGATATACTCATTCTTCCCCACTAACGGGGTTCAGGATGCACCGGGAGTTATATCCGAGCGACTGCAAGATAACTCCTGAACTTCACCGTGAACTGCAGGCAGTGATCCTTCATGCCTATACCGGTGCGTCTCTCGCCATGTGTTAACCATATTTGCTCACAACACAATTTGTCAAGTAGATACTATCTTTTCAGAAATATCATTGGCTCCTTTTGACACAGATGAGCTCCAGCGAGCTCTGAACATTGTTGATTATTTGAATGGTGATGTCTGTTCATACATCGTACTGGGCAGGTTTGTTGATCCAAAGTTAAGGCATCGTCAACAAATCTGATCCAACAACAAATGATGAACCCGATTCGACCACAAATGACCAATACATTTGGGCATACGGTACGGGTTTTGCTTTCTTAATACTGTTTTTTCTTATAACGAGCCTCCATAGCTCGCCTAATGCGAATGTTCAGTATGGTGGTCTAATGGATGCCTTCATCCAGATGCAACTGACTTTTCTCACCAGCTCGAGCCAGGCTTTCTAATTTTTACGGTGAAATAGGCACGAGGCTAGGTGATCACACTATTTATGCCGACGACAATTCTACCGAAAAAAGACCGATAGTCAAGCTTTTCAACTTCTTCCTTTTTGGCTCTCCGTCTACCCATATTAGACAAATCGACAGCGTCTGGGTTGACCAATCTGTCAACCGCCCGCGCTGGAAAATGTTCATGAATAGGTTGACGAGCGAGTGGAGTGGACTAGCAATCTATGTAAGTTGCCGATGCCCACAGCATTTCCATTAACCATTAAAATGGACAGTCAACCGTCATGTTGGCTGTAGACATCAGTTTTCTCTCGATGCCGGCGATCGGTACACGACCATCGGCACAAATCGCATTATACATCTCGTCGCTCTGGTCCGTAGCTTCGCTGGTCGTCTCTGCTCTTCTTGCTCAAAGCGGCGGGCACCGAGACAGCATAAACCGAGCAGTACATTCAACGTTTTTCTCCCTCATCACACGACTGACTTGACTGATCAAGACTGCATTCATGACGCGTATAACTCAGTCCCTTCATGGTAAAGAGAACCTTGCCATCATTTTCAGCTTACCATATGCCCTCGTTGTTTGGGGGTGAGTGTCTTCGCTATTTACAGTGCTGCGCGAGTGTTTCTCATTGACAATTAACATTATACAGGATGGTTTTCTTTTTCCTAGCGCTGTCGCTGGTGATTTTTCTATCTGCTAGTGTCACGACGTGGTGCACTGTAGGGCCAGCTTGGTTACTCGTCGTCGGGTTTATTGGCTGGCCAGTATGGGCAGCTAAAATACCACCAATTGGACGGTGGATGTCCTCTTTGTGGATAGGAAGTGAAAACACGAAACCAGTGGAGACTACAGATGAAGCCTACTGAGAGAAATAGTATTGCTAGCTTGTCTCCGGGTTGCAAATTGATTTGATTGTAGCTTGTTACTAGCTGCCAGCAGTATATTCTTGCAGTCTGGAATCGATACTAGCATTTCAAACCTACACTTCACTGCTCGTCATCGAGTTCGTTGGAACCCATGTTCTTGCACCCTTGCAAAATCCGTGGCTTTCGTTCCTGAGCACTGAGCATCTAAATTGGACGGTCGATAATTTGCGTTGAACACAATGCTTTCAGCGGCTGCCATTCTCACTTGCGTTACACCGCGAGCAGTGATATAAAGTGTATCAGCAATAGTAGTACTCTCACTATTCTGCTTCAATATCTCAATCGAGGTTGAACGTTGGTCCCCTACATATCACACATGCGGGGGGTCCACTTGGAGATTCTATATATACTAGTGCCAACAAACACCTTGCGATACACGATCTTAGTGAATCGTGGACATAAATTCCGTGACTTCGTAAGTACTTGAGTAGTTCATGACTCACGAGCTGCATGTTGAAAATCATCATGTCATGTAGATGACGTGAAAAAACTGGGAAAGGAAAAGCTGTTGGCATTCATTCTTGGGGACAACGGAATAAACCTGCCATTGACCCTGCTTGGTGAGGTGATTTAGTGCTTTGACCCACGCAGTTACACGTGCTTTGATCCACGTGGCGTCCGAGGGTGAGGCAAGGCGTATTCCCTCCCGGAGTGGAGCACTGTGCGCAGTTGCGGGATTTGGAGGTCGAACTTGGCAGTGAGCAGCTGCAGGAATCGCAGGAGTTTGACTAGCAGTAGCTTCATCTATATTAATATATCGCGGACATGCACATTTGCACCTCCTCTGTGCAGAATCGCATCAGTACCAGTAATCATCACCTGACTGTTTAGATATTTACTTACTATGGTACAACGCTTACGGTTACGAGGTTGGCCGCCTTGCAAACATTTTGCACACCTCGAAGCCGTGCACGCTTTCTTGAGAGGAGGAGCAGTAGCTGCACAATTCCTTGGCTAGCAAGTGACAATCTGAACGTTAGCACATGTGATTAGTATTGATGAGAATCCTTACTCTTCCCCTGCACATCCAAGTTATAGGGGGTCTAAGGTGGGTCGAGGTTAACGTTAATCTGTACCACTTGTGGCACATGCAGGACGGAATGAGATTTCGACTCTCAGATCCGACCGATCGGCGATTGGTCTCGACTCTCGGGAAGAAGACTGAGTCGTATTCAGTCACTGAAAGTGTTTAATGGTCAAATAAAAGGACTTGGAAGGAACACCGCCTGGGCATAATTGTAACCAGGCAGTCATTCCTGTGGCTCCATGCTATGTACTGACATCGGTCTCACGGAGTGCGATGAGGGAACTTTTGAAGACTGAACTTGTCTGTAAGTGTAAGTGGGCAGTGCTGCTCCGTGAGAATATATTACCATTTCTTGCAGTATATCCTCCGTTGTTATCGTAGAATCAGAACTCTAGCTATTCGTATAGGGTCATACCTATTTTCCCTATCTCGCACAATTTCCCCCCTGCAGCTGTGTAGGACAGGGTACAGCACGTCTTAACAGTTTCCATTTTTTGTTGTGGTATATAAATATAGAAATTCTCCCTCTCTCCGTTGTCATCATGCTTCATTCCTGTCTGGCTTTTGTCCTTTGTTCTCTGGTTTTCCCTTCAAGTCACTCCCTACAACCTGCCGCTATCAAAGTCAAAGTCTACATGTATATTCTTTGTCACTCCACATGGCATGACTTCCTCATCACTGATCAGGTTTTTCTTGATCAAGCCATACTGCGCATGGTGGATATTTATCGCTGCCCACCACCTGGTCTCTCAATACCTCTTATAATGTGACACTCCTTACTACTCTCAGTAACGCCCGTCATCTTTACCCTCCAACTTTTGCGCGTGGCTTCAATCCGACTCAGAATGCGGCAGCTTGAGTGGTAGAACCTTCGCAGCTGCTGCTGAGCGAAACTCGAATGAAATCGAGGACTGGCGCGTGCGCCGTTACGATCAGACAACTGTATGTGACGTCTGTTGTGCACATGAGGTAGTCTGTATTTTTTATATCGAATACAATACCGGTTTCGGTTTAGTTGGATGTCGAATATACAATGCACGTTAACACGCTTTTCTAGCTGTGCAGATCGGCACTATGATGTCTCGTTGACAAAGGAGGTATGGTTTATTGCTACTCAGACATTTTTTGGTGGTGATGTGTGTCTTCATAGGGAGCTATTACTCTGAGGTAGCAGTCGCGTACGAGGGTTCGTGTGGTCGAATGCACTTGTGCATGTTCGATGGATTAGATCCACAAGGTTCCGCGTGTATAGTAAGCGCCCACGAAACCAAACCAGCATCCCTTCTGAAATGGACGAGGACAGCGGAAAACGCAACAGCAGATCTTTGCCAATCGGTCGACGCCTCCTCCTATTCATATTGATCGAGAGTGAGATAGGCCAAGCGGACAAACATGTTCTTAAGAACTTGACGCGGGTCGAGAGGTTCATTCAAGATGACACACGGAATACGGTGGAGAACTTATTTCCGAATTTTCATACATTGATCATTGGCAACCAAGGACGCTCGTGAAAATGATAATGTAATGTACAACCATAGTGTGACTGTATATGTTATAGTAATGATTTGCTCATGTAGGGACCGTCGAGCTCGTAACCAAGCTTGCGGTAATAATCTCGAGTACCGACACCTGTGGAGAAGGTATCAGTGTAAGTTCCCTCTTGCAAGTGAAAGTCGGACCTGATATGACAGCGAGCTTCACACTCCCATGTTCCTCCCGTGCTATTCGTTCTGCTTCTTCCATAAGCAGTGTCCCAAACCCCTGATGTTGGAATTTCGTTGGGTCGCGCCCGTGCACTGGAACTGCAGTACCATACACATGGAGCTCACGGACAATACTCGACCCTCCCTCTGCGCCTTCCTTGCGCACAAGCTCAGGCCGGAAGGTGCCTTCCTCGGTACATTTCCGTAGACGAAGAAGCCCAATCAAGATGTCTTGCTCTGGGTCCTCGTAAGAAAGGAAGGTCTCCCACCCACCGTTGGCCGCATAATCTCGTCTGAGAAGCTCGACAGACTCCGGTCGTACTTTGTGGTGTATTTCGTGTATCTGTATAAACGTCAGCATCTGAGCCACATATTTCAGGACGCCGCACGCACGCCAACTTCGCGATATCGCACATCTCTGCATTCTGCGCCGAAATCTTTCATTCGATTGAGGGCCAACTCTCGTAAATTGCCCGAATTTTCACACCCACTTGTGACCAGCGGCAATGGAATATCTCTATGGTAATCAGTTACGTTTGAATCCTTTTGTTTCACATCGACTTCATGAGACTAACCTTTGTACGCGATATACTCGCGTCCATGGAGGTACGAGTGCCAATATCCGAGCAACGACATCCACCAAGACATTAGGTGTGTAATTCTTGTACTTGCCCGTCCGCCAAAGCTCATACAAGCCCGTCCCTCGAATGACCAAAGTAGGATATATCTTCAATCCATCGCTCCTAAATGCCGGATTTTCAAAATATTCCTTAAACTGCTCAAGGTCGCGCTCCAGCCCCACATTTGGGAGATCAGGCATCATATGAGCGACGACTTTGAACCCTGCATCTTTGGCCATGTGGAAGGACTCGGAGACCGCACGCACAGTATGTCCACGATTTGTGTCTCGGGCAACGTCCTCGTATACTGATTGGACGCCGATTTCGAGGCGCGTGCAGCCGTAGCGGAGCATCTGGGATAGATGGGGCCTCAAGCAGTAGTCTGGTCGCGTCTCTATGGTTATCCCGATTGCCTTTGACTTGCTCTGTTCTGAATATCTATACTAGGCATAAATATCCTGCTGTTTGAAACCAAAATAAGACAACATTTACCGTACCGCTTCATCAACATCGGTGCCCGTGAAGCCAGATAAAGCGTTATGTAGCTGTGCGACGAATTTTGCGCGGTAGTCCTCTGGCATGCTCATGAAAGTACCGCCCATGATAATGAATTCGACTTTGTCGACGCTATGACCAAGGGCTTTTAGCTGTTCGACACGTCCTCGCGTCTGCTCGTACGGGTCATAGCGCGCACGAATGGCACGCATGCTCGTCGGTTCATACCCAGTGTAACTTTGCGTGCTGTAATCAAAATCAGAATCCGGTCCACCTGGGCAGTATCTGTCACAGGAATGAGGAACACAAATAGAGACAACAAAGTGGGATGTACACGCAAATGTTCCCCGTCATGGCGATGTGAGGGCATCGATGAGGTTTGCACATCACTGCTACCACAGCGATCTATGAGGAACCGTCAGATCTAACGGATCTTCTGTGAAGTAAAAGCAAACCACATACACCACTGGCTGTTCTTATAGGCCTTGCACGAAGTTTAGGCAAAAGAGCCTTTTTATATTCGTCCGGTATGGCGCTGATGATATCTACCAGCCTCGGCACGCCCCCGAAGCCATATTTCTTAGAGATCTTTGCGCGGAGTTCATTCAGCGAGACTGTTTGGTTGGAATCGTGGGCTTTAATGAGTTCTGCGGCGATTCCTGAGGTAACACGAAGGAGAATCTCGGCCTGGGAGGGGCCTTCCTGAGATTGTGAGCTGGTGGATTGAGAGTGAGCAAGTGATGGTTTTACCTTCGGTTTTTGACCCTTGAACCATTTATAGGCTATTGGTTCGGTTGCCAGAAATTATGCGTGTCCTGTTCTTTCCTGCGAGTTTTCTTGCTTGTCGTGCAATCCGATCTTGAAGAATAGCTGGTGGATGTGTTCTCGCCAGGACTCCAAATGCCGATGACTACCTCGGGTCACGCATTATTCCGTTGTCACGCTTTGAAGAAATTAGAGTCTAGAGTCTAGACCGACGCTAACTTATGTTTCAACAATGTCGCTTTTCACGACTGCAAAAGTTACAGATTCGCTCTTATTATGACTCCAGGACACATGTCCCGAGAAAAGGCGACAAGGGTAAGTTGAATCCTCCTGCGCTCCCGATAACAAATTCCTCATCGAGTCACTCAGTTGTTGTTGCAATGTCCGGAGGGGTGGATTCCTCCGTCACCGCAAAATTACTAGCGGACAAAGTAAGTAACATGTGCAATGCTAATACAACTGATACAAATGTTTTGTATCGACAGGATTACGACCTATCAGCAGTGTTCATGCGCAATTGGGATACACGCGATGAGTCCGGTTCAGATCATGGATGTGAGTGGGAGAAAGACTGGGAAGATGTCAGACGCGTATGCAGGGTGCTCGATATACCCTGTAAAATGGTATGTTTCATAATTTTACTTTTGCAAGCTTTTAAGTTTCCTTACTTACAGGTGGATCTCTCACGTGAATACTGGACTCGGGTATTCGAGCCCTCCTTGAAGTTCTGGGAGAGCGGTATCACGCCCAATCCTGACGTGTGGTGTAATAAGTGAGTTGTTTTGTTAACGGCTGAGTGTTTCATTCTTGATGTTAGGTTAGAGAAGTTAAATTTGGCGTATTACTAGACCGCCTGACCGAGGATCCTGGGCTTTCAAATACTCCATGGCTTGCAACTGGTACTTGATCCTTTCCCTTCATCCTTAGTTCAACTCATTATCTGGTATGCGTGTAGGCCACTACGCAAATAAAGATTGGAAGTACCATAATGGCGTTTCACGACCAAGACTTCTTCGTCCTCGCGACGTTACAAAGGACCAGACATATTATTTATCTTCTGTCCCTGAACGTAGCCTTTCCCGTGCTCTTTTCCCTCTAGGATCCATAAAAAAGATAGAAGTCAGAGAGCTCGCCGTGAAGTGGAACTTACCAACGGCGGCCAGACAAGAAAGCATGGGCATATGTTTTGTGGGGGAGAAACGCAAATTTCATGACTTCATATGTGAGCTCAAATTTCGTGCCTGATATCATCTGCTGAACTTTCTAGCTAAGCCCAATACATACCACCTAAACCTGGGCCAATTATCGACCTGGAAACAGGACTCCAAGTGGGCGAACATACAGGGCCATGGAATTTCACTATTGGTCAGGGTGCTAAAGTGAAGGGTCTCAAAGAAAAGACCTTTGTAGTGAAGAAAGATATCCCAAAGAACATAATATACGTCGTACCTGGAACGTCAGTGTTGTCATATCCTCTTTCGAATTACTTACAGTTGTCGGCTGTCAGTGATCATCCAGCGTTATACGCACAATCCCTGACCATTCGCGATTGGACGTGGATATGGGCTGACAGCCCACCAATAGAGCTCATGCATCCTGGCGGTCTCAAAGCGCGTATGAAATTTCGACACGTGATGTCTGACACGGGCTGCTCAGTGTACTCGTGAGTCTAGCTGTTTTTTTATCGTTCACGATCAATCAATTAGCCCAGTGATAACGATTGCATTCGCATCGATTTCGACGAGCCGCAGAAGGCCGTCGCACCAGGGCAAGTTGCAACGGTTTATGTTGAAGACTGGTGTTTAGGGTGCGGTACAATCGTGAATGTAGCTTAAGTGCCACACTCTATTTCAGAAACGACGAGTTCAACAGGTAATGATGCGCGTACCTTGGCTTTTGGTGCAAAACTTCACATTTCATCTAGCTCAGATCATTGCGATAAGGCTTTTCGTGGATGGTTGTCGCCCGAATATCTGCATTAACCATGTGACAGTCTACTCTTCCCTCCTGCTATCCAAGGTCGGCCTGTCTTGTACTTGGGCACGGAATCGATGGCTGTCGTTTTACACCACACTCAGCGTAACTTCCCTCACAACCGTTCAACTTAACATCGGCGTGTCAGACTGCTCCTTCACCTTATGTCAGTCAAGCGTCATGAAGATATTGTTGGGTAGCGCCTGCCTTCCCAGAACTTTCTGTCATGGGCGCGGACGTACGCAAGAGGTCTGAACATCCAATGTGGACGTATGTCGATTTTCAGACGTGAAATAGGTCCAATGTCTCCGTTTCAGTGGTGTTTAGGCACAGATCTAGGTCGATATAGTACCATGATGCAGAAAATCAGGACCGCCGATAAGCATGGAACTGTCAAACAACTATCTTATCCTTGATCGGAAAGTCCACGACGGTGCTGGGGTATTCCTCTGGCTATCTCTGAGAGGAGATCCAAGGAGAACGGTCACTGTTATGTTACAAACCAGGCATTGGAAACAGCCTATCCAACCTTAGGCATATAAAAGACCTTGCTGAGCCTCTAATTGCAGAACTTAAAGCTCTCCAATTGCCCACGAACAAAAGCTGGTCTCCCTGAAGTTATGACGGCACCACAGCCAAACAATATGAACCCATTGATTCGTTGCATCCATGTAGTCACCTAGCAGTGCAAGAACGGTGCGAGAAAAGAGCATGGGTCAACTGATCTTGACCGAGAAATTGTATCAGCACGACATATCGAAGCACAGTAAGGCGACCACGGCGCCTACCGCTTGAAAGTAGCGCTAGAAAATGTCTAACGCCTAACCCGCATTCAGCTAGCCAGGTGTCTGCAGCAAGGCATATGGGATCAGCGATATGTAGGATATTCAACTCAACTATCACTCGCGTGAGTGTCTGCTCCCCCACTAAACGCTCCTGTTGACCGAGACAGCGAACGAGATTCGATGGCGGCTGCCACGGACGAAACATTGTCCAAAGCGATAACTCGAAAGGAACTACCTCATATTCAAATGACGCTCAAGGGTCATAAAGACAGGGTAATCAGCGTAGCTTTCATCCCTGGTACCCATTTCCTCGTCACTGGCTCCGATGGCAAGAGTCTTCGGGTATGGGGTCTGGACACGGAGGAACAAGTGGGAAAGCCCTTGTTGGGTCACGATGATATTGTCTGGACGGTCGCAGTGTCCCCCGACGGACGTTGGTTTGTGAGTGGAAGAGGGAACGGAAGCATCCTGGTCTGGGAAGTTCCAACGAACAAGACAGAGTTCAAGGGAGTACCCATCCCATTCAAAGGCCACGGGGCATCTGTTAAGAGTATCGTATTTGCAACGGACAGTGAGACATTTGCAAGTGTATCATGGGATGAAACGGTATGCGTATGGAAGAGGGAGACGGGCGAAATAGTCCTTGGACCACTCAAGGTGGGCAGTGACGCCAACTCGGTGTCGTACTCTCCAGATGGGACAAGACTCGCAGCAGGAACCAAGCAACACATTATCGTCTGGGATCCAGCAACAGGAAAAGAACTACTCAAAATAGAACAGCGGGCATACAGAGTCACATTCACTCCAGATGGTCTCTATCTCATCAGTGGAAACTGGAAAGACATAATTTCAGATACTACCACTGGAGACATCATCAAACAGTTCAAAGCCCACACTACCGAACCCCTTTTCTCGCTAGCAATTGCTCCCAATGGCACCGAATTAGCCACCACATCACACGACAAGACGACGCGGTTATTTGATCCGACCACATTCGAACTCATCGGCGAGCCGCTCGAGCGCCTTCTTGGTGTCCGCTGTGCAGCCTTTTCCGAGGACAGCCAGCTCATCGTAACTGGTTGTAACGACAAACACGTTCGCACATGGACAGTTCCTCTGAACGAGCCAGAGAGGGAGCTCCAACACGTGAGCAAATTCTCTCGTCATGTTTTATGCTGATCTGTCATACAGTCTGCACAGAAAATTCTCAAAGTATGCTTTCACGCTCGTCGCTTTGTGTGATCCCTAACTTCACTCTCATAGAAAACCATCCCAAGCCCACAGCCTCGCCTAAAACGTGCTCCAATACCGATCGGTAGGTTCTTCGATGATGTAAGTTCATATGTCACAATAGAATGGATGCACGTCTCACCATCCTTTGATAGTTTGACCCTGGACACAACAATTGCGCCGCTACCACCGTGCGTTATGCTGAAGGGTCGGGAATCAAGGACATGAAGGCTCGTTTCTTTTCTCGTTTTTCCTCTTCCCGGGACCATGCTCCTCGCTCTCCCAGGATTCCCCTTGTAGACGTCTTTGCAACACGAGACAAATATGTAAGTTTGGCTGACCTTTCGACCTCCATCTCCGAGTCGTGATGGTGACACTTCCCCGCAGCGTACCGCTAATGCCCAGAGTGGAAAACGACATCTGGTGAGGTCGCTACATCCTCCTCGTCGGCAAACCCACACTGGTGCCTCAAGCAGCAACGCGCCGCCAGCAGGGACATCAATGTGATCGGGGGAGCCACCCCAGTAACCTTGCAGACCGGAAATACCAGTGCAACTAACAGACACCCTTCCTCGTTGGATGTTGAACATGTTCCAGACGTCGGCTGCTCTGCAATGCTCACAAGGTGGTTCCCTCGTCTTTCACGCACTCGACAAACAAGTTCGTCTGCTTCCAGCTCCCACTAGGCTTTCGGCCCTTTCTGGTTACGTTGGAGTAAATATCACCGCATGTACCGAGTATTTGAACTTTCAAGATACATGCAATTCGATGTTGCTCGCAATGAACGACTGCCAATTATGCAGTATTCAAATCATGGAGAAAAATGGTTGGCGGCGGGTTTCGAACCTGCACTATACAGGAGGAACAGATTTCGAATCTGTTAAGTACTTCTTGGCCATAAGGCTTATGCTTGACGTTTGAAGACCTATCCATGAGCTCATGCTCAAGTTGCGATCAGATAGAAAAACTATTGTCGCCAGGTTTCGAACCTGCACGATCCAGGAAGAACAGATTTCGAATCTGTTAACCACTGGGCGAGGAGTGTTGTTGTTGGCGTTCAAAGACCTCTTATGAGCTCATGCCAGAGGTGCAAACATAGAGAAAAACTATTGTCGGCGAGTTTCGAACCCACATGATCCAGGAAGAACAGATTTTGAATCTGTTAACCACGTGGCTAAGACTAGTCAAGACAAATCGATGAGTTGAAGCTAAACATGCCAAGCGGGTGGGTCTGGACGACAGTAGTTAGCTGTAATGTTGTGAGCCGTGAATCAGTCCCACATGAGCTGGCTCGCGCAGCCGCAGAGTGCGCAAACATAGGAAAAATCTGATGTTAGCGGTGTTCTTCGGCAAGAATGTGTCTAACAGTAGTATCCTGTCATCCATCAGATCTACGCCAAAATACCGACAGGGACTACTTACAATGTCCTTTTGAAACTGGACTTCGACGTTTATGTTCGTACCTCTGGCGCTCACGGGCATGAACCAATTCAAGGGGATTAGTCACGTATGTCCAGATGATATCTTGGTTGTGATCTGGGAGCTTGTGACGTGCGATGTTAACGTGGAACCCATACCACTAGCTTTAGCTTCTGGAAGGTCCTATGCGAGGATGGGAACTGCGGATAAGGCCAGTTCTACATGGGATGGATCATGAATTGGTGGGAGTAATCGATGACAATGCATGTAACAGTGGTGTCTTGTCATTAATGACACTGTCTATAGCAGTTTGTGTGCAGAATCTCGCGTGTTTGGATCGTGCATAATTGCACGTCGAAACGGTGATCGGTTGAACTTGCGCACGAAACACCATAAGCGGAACCAATAGGCCGTATTTTCGAGCGTACTGAGAGGGTAGTTGCCAGACTCTTAGAGACTAAATGATACCCGCATGAACAAAAAGCTAATCTCCCTGAAATTACGATGGTACCACAGCGAAATTATTGATTCGTTGTATCCGTATGGTTATCTAGCAGTACAAGAACAGCGTCAAACGAGATCTCAGGTCGACTGATGTCGCAGAAAAATTATATCAGCCATATCATGGAAGCACAGCAACAGCAACCACGGCACCTCCTAGTACAGGAAACGCCTGAAAAAAGCGCTGAAAACATCGCCAACCTGTAAGTGGGACACCACGTGTGTACAGCAAGGTCAACATGTAAATTGAGTATCCTGTAGGAGATACAACCTAACGACTACTCACCAAAGCGCAGCCAAGTGACTGCTACTTCCTCGACTCTCCTGTTGACCGAGACACCGAACAAGAGTCAATGGCAGCCACCACAGGCAAAGCATCGTCCAAAGCGCCGACTCGAAAGGAACCGCCTTATGTCCAAATGACGCTCAAGGGTCATGAAAATGATGTTGACAGCATAACTTTCATCGTTGGGACTCGTCTCCTTGTCACTGGCTCCGAAGACAAGACTCTTCGGGTATGGGATCTGGACACGGGAAAACAAGTGGGAGAGCCTTTGTTGGGTCACGATGATGGCATCTGTAGTGTCGCAGGGTCCCCCGATGGGCGTTGGATTGTGAGTGGAGGCAGGAATGGAAGGATCCTGGTCTGGGAAGTCGCGACAAACAAGAGAGACCTCAAAAGAGTGCCCATCTCGTTCAACGGCCATAAGGGTGCTGTTTGGAGTCTCATGTTTGCACCAGACAGCGAGACATTTGCAAGTGCCTCATGGGACGAGACGGTATGCGTGTGGAAAAGGGAGACGGGAAAAATAATCCTGGGACCACTCAAAGTGGGCAGTCATGCACTCTCAGTGTCGTACTCCCCCGATGGGAAAAAACTGGCAGCAGGCACTCAGAAACACATCATCGTCTGGAATGCAGAAACAGGAAAAGAACTACTCAAAATAGACCAGCGGGCATACAGAGTCGTATTCACTCCAGATGGTCTCCATCTCATCAGTGTAGACTACAAAAACATCCGAATCTCAGATGCTACCACCGGTGACATCATTAAACAGTTTGACGCGCACACCGATAACATTTGCTCACTATCCATTGCTCCCAATGGTACAAAAATTGCAACCACATCATACGACAAGACGACGCGGTTCTTTGACCTAAGCACTTTCGAACCCATCGGCGAGCCACTCGAGCACCCTAGTGGCGTCTTCGGTCTGGCTTTTTCCGAGGACAGCCAGCTCATCGCCACAGGCTGTTGGGACAACCTCGTTCGCACATGGACAGTTCCTCTGACCGAATCAGAGAAGGAGTCGCAACAGGTGAGCAAATTCTCTTCTCGTGTCATGCTTCGTACTGACCTGTCATACAGTCCACACAGAAAATTCTCAAAGTAGGTTTTCATGGCCGCCGATTTGTACGATCCCTAACTTCACTCTTGCAGAAAACCATTTCAAGCACACAACCTCGCCCAAGACGCGCTCCGATACCGACCAGTGAGTTTTTCCGTGATGTAAGTCCATATGATACATGAGATTCGATTCACGTCTCACGATCCTTTGATAGTTTGATCCTGGACGCAACAACCGCGCTACTGCCACCACGCGCCATGCTGAAGGGTCCGGAATCAAGAACACGCTGAATCGTCTCTTTTCTCGCTCCTCCGCTTCCCAGGGCCATGCTCCTCGCCCACCCAATATTCCCCTTGTGGACGTCTCCGCCACACGAGGCAAATATGTAAGTTTGCCTGACCTTTCGAGTTCCATCTCGTGATGCTGACATTGTCTCGCAGCGCACCGCTAATGCCCACAGTGGAAAAAGACATCTGCCGTGGCCTAAATATCATCCTAATCAGAAAGCCCACGCTGGTGCCTCAAGCAGCAGCAAGGCAGCAGCAGGGACATCCAATTCCAATGTGATGAGTGGATCCACATCGGGACCCTTGCAGACAGGCAATACCAATGCTTCTTCTGCAATTAACGGACCCCTTTCTCCGCCGGGCGTCGAACGTGTTCCACACACCAACTGTTTTGCAGTCCTTGCAAGGTGCTTCCCGCGTCTATCGCGCACTCGACAAACCCGTCCATCCGCTTCAGGTTCCCCTTAGGCTTCCTGTCCTTTCCCTCGTTGCTGCAGATATTACTTCAAGATATTTCTGACATTCGATGATGCTCCCGGTAGATACCTCTTACCATACACACCATTCACTCGTTCAGCCGAAAGATATCAGTTGTAACAGGTTTCTTTATTTGCATGGATTGCTTGTACTAGCAGAATATATAACATTTGAGAGCCTTGCATGGCGTCTCATTACTCGCATGACCAACCTAGTGTATTAACGAGGCATCTATAAACTGATGCATACAAAAAACATAGTGCATTGGATGTCCTGATTTCAACATCCCCAGCATGAGCATAAAGTACTTAAAAGTCAAACACCGCGCACGGGGAGAGTAGCACGCAGATCACTACGCAGACATACGCATGTAACGCAACATTCGTGCACGCGACGAGAAGACTGTCGCATAACAACTACCGGCTCGCTCTGAAGAAAGAGAACCACCTGAAGACACCGACAGGCTGCCAAGATGCGACAAGAAGTGCAAGGGAGCTGGCCTAGCTGGTCATGGCGTCACCAGCCACGAACCAGTCCCACATATGTATACCAGTTCGCGCAGTCGTAGAGTGCGCGTGTAGGATCCACGGCAGTAGAATCGCTCACGTCATCTAGAACCAGTCACGCCCGATTGCGTTCCCGCATACTGGTTCTTCACGTCATCGAGATCTGCCGTGCTGCCCGGCTCTTGTAATCATATCCACTCATGCTGACCATGTCAGAAGCACGACCTTCAAACCAGTGGCATGTATCTTCTCGGTGCTCGTCAATAGCCACGTTCGATGGCGCGCAGACGAGAGTCTGACCGAGGTTATCTTGGTGAGATGATAGACGATCAAAGCAGAAGTTATCTTTCCAGTACCAGGAAGTACTGAATCAAACTAATGGGCTTCTGCAGAGCACTCTTGACTGAACGGTTAACACTTTTCTTGCTGCATGTACATGCGCCTTGATGTTCTGACCAACTTTGTCTCAAAGCCCTGTGTCCGTCAGCTCTACGCCCAAACACCACAGAAACTACTTATAATTCCATTTTCGAAACCCGACGTAGACGTCGAATCAGTCACGTATATCCGAATGATACATATCTTCGTTGAAATCCGTGAGTTTGTTATATGCCGACTGGCTAAATGTGAATGCGTTCAAACCTATGTCGCTGGCTCTTATTCTCTGGAATGTCCTGGGATGCTTAGCGTTGGCCTAACGTGTTTGGTATATGCGTCGGCGCTCATATCCTACATTCAGCCTCTCACAGATGATAAGACACGTCGAGCAGGGTACATATGATGGCCTGGAGTCTCTTGCGGGAATAGCCCCATGTCTCGTCCGTTTGAGGGCTGGTATCAGGAAAATCTGAAATTCTTATCGTACTTAATATCAGCTTTGAGACATTCTTTGCAGCTGACTGACTGCGAATATGTACATACAAGTAAATCAAAGTTCTTAGTTGTTCGCCTCGCCCCATCTGATAGAACCACACTCAGACACCGTGGACAGCACTGTCACTGCTCCAGGATATCCAATCGCAGATCTTCCAGCTCCCGCATCAAGGAGTCAGTATCGTTGCCTGACTGTACATGTCAACTAAAGCAAGTCATGATCATGGCCCTTCGCATGATGTGTCCGTCAGATCTATGCGAAAACACCAACGGGAACCACTTACAAGTTCCTTTTGATGTAAATGTCCATGTTCGTACCCCTGGCGCCCACGAGCATGAACCCATTCGAGTGAATCAGTCACGTATGTCCGGGTATTATCTTCGTCGCAATCTGCGAGCTTGTGATGTGCGACGCTTGAATGTGGAACTTATACCACTGGCTGTGGCTTTCAGGCAGGTCCAACGTCAGAATGTGAGATGCAGAGCAAGTCCAGTATTACGTGGGACGAACCATATATTGATGGGAGTAGTCGATGAGAATTGTAACAGTGGTGTCCTGTCATTAACGACGATGTATCGATAGCGGTTTGTGTGCAGAATCTCTTCTATGGACCATGTAGAGTTGCGCATCCAAACAGTGGCAGTTGAACCTGCGCATGAAATTTGATAAGCGGAATAAATAAGCATTGTCATCGAGCGTACTGAGAGGTTAATTGCCAGACTCTTAGAGACTGAATAACTTGCCCGCAGGAGCAAAAAGCTGGTCATGATGGTGGACCAAGGGTCCCCAAGGCAGTAATCCAGAGACAAGAGCATTCGGAGGTCCTCATAGCTTGGTCGGACGGCACATACACACGCACATAGCTCTCAGAGTAGAACATCATCATCCATCCACTCAGATCTCATAGCATAGCCTGCGTCCTAGCTCAATGGTACCACAACCAAACCATTGATTCGTTGCATCCATATGATTATCTAGCAGTACAAGAACGGCGTCAAACGAGATCTCAGATCGACTGATGTAGCAGAGAAATTGTATCAGCCATATCATGGAATCACAGTAAAAGCAATCACGGCGCCCACTAGTGCAGGGAACTCCTGAAAAAGCGCTGGAAATGTCACCAACTTGTATGCAGGACACCACGTGTGTACAGCAAGGTCAACATGTGGATTGAGTATCCTGTAGGAGACGCAATTGACCGAGACACCGAACAAGAGTCAATGGCAGCCACCATGGGCAAAGCATCATCCAAAGCGCCGACTCGAAAGGAATCACCCTATGTCCAAATGACGCTCAAGGATCATGAAGATCGCGTTTGCGGCGTAGCTTTCATCGCTGGGACACGTCTCCTTGTCACTAGCTCCGACGACAAGAGTCTTCGAGTGTGGGATCTGGACACGGGAAAACAAGCGGGAGAGCCCTTGCTGGGTCACGATGCCGAAGTCCGGAGGGTCGCAGCGTCCCCCGATGGGCGTTGGATTGTGAGTGGAGGAGAGAACGGAAGCATCTTGGTCTGGGAAGTTGCGACAAACAAGAGAGAGCTCAAAAGAGTGCCCATCTCGTTCAATGGCCATGAGCGTGTTGTTTGGGATGTTGCATTTGCACCGGACAACGCGACATTTGCAAGTGCATCAGATGACAAAACGGTATGCGTGTGGGAGAGGGAAAAGGGAGAAATAGTCCTTGGGCCACTCAAAGTGGGCAGCGACGCATACTCGGTGTCGTACTCCCCAGATGGGACAAAACTCGCAGCAGGCACTCAGAAACATGTCATCGTTTGGAATACAGAAACGGGAAAAGAGTTGCTGAAAATAGAACAGCGGGCATGGCGACTCGCATTCACTCCAGATGGTCTCCGTCTCGTCTGTGGAAGCTTTCGAAACATCCGAGTCTCAGATGCTACCACTGGAGACATCATCACACAGTTTGACGTGCACACCGATAACTTTCTGTCACTATCCATCGCTCCCAATGGCACAAAATTTGCCACCACTTCATGGGACAAGACGACGCGGTTCTTTGACCTGACCACATTCGAACCCATTGGCGAGCCACCCGAGCACCCTGGTGGCGTCTTCGGTCTGGCATTTGCCGAGGATAGCCAGCTCATCGCCACAGGCTGTTACGACAAGTTCGTTCGCACATGGACAGTTCCTCTGACCGAATCAGAGAAGGAGCTCCAACAGGTGAGCAAATTCTTTTTCATATCGTGCTTCGTATTAACCTGTCATACAGAAAATTCTCAAAGTACGCTTTCATGCCCGTCAATTTGTACGATCCCTAACTTCACTCCTGCAGAAAACCATCCCAAGCACACAGCCTCGCCCAAGACGCGCCCCAATACAGACCAGTAGGTTCTTCGACGACGTAAGTCCAAATGATATAGTAGATTCGATGCACGTTTCACGTTCCTTTGATAGTTTGATCCTGGACGCAATGACCGCGCTGCTACCACCACGCGCCATGCTGAAGGGTCCGGAATCAAGAACACGCTGAACCATTTCTTTTCTCGCTCCTCCGCTCCCCAGGGCCATGCTCCTCGCTTACCCAATATTCCCCTTGTGGACGTCCCCACTACACGAGGCAAACATGTAAGTTTGCCTGACCTTTCGAGTTCCATCTCGTGATGCTGATATTGTCTCGCAGCACACCGCTAATGCCCAGAGTGGAAAAAGATATCTGCCGAGGTCTGTACATCCTCCTCGTCGGAAAGTCCACGCTGGTGCCTCAAGCGGCAGCACGGCAGCAGCAGGGACATCCAATGTGACCTGTGGAATCACATCAGGACCCTTGCAGACAGGGAATACCAATGCTTCTGCTGCAACTAACAGACCCTCTTCTCCGCTGGACGTTGAACATGTTCCACACACCAGCTGCTTTGCAGTTCTCACAAGGTGCTTCCCGCGTCTATCACGCACTCGATAAACCCGTCCATCCGCTTCAGGTTCCCGCTAGGCTTCCTATCCCTCCCCTCGTTGCTGCAGATATTACTTCAATATACTTGTGACATTTGATGATACTCCCGATAGCTAGATAACTACTGCCATACGCACTATTCACTCGCTTAGCTGACAAGATATCAATCATAGTTGATTTTCTCGCTTGTATGGATTACTTATGCTAGCAGAGTAAATAATATTTAATAGCTTTGTTCTCCGGCGTCCCATCACTCACATGGCCAACCTAGTGTATTCAGAAAGCATCTTCAAACTGATGCATACAAGAAACATAGTGCATTGCATATTCTGATTTCGACATCCCCAGCATCAGTATCGAGTTCTTAAAAGTCAAACACTGCGTACGCGAAGAGCAGCACGCAGACCACTGCATAGACATCCGGATGGATGGTAACATCGTGCGCGACGAGGAGACCGTCGCATACCAACCACTGGCCCGCCCTGAAGAGGAGGGATAACCTGAAGATACCAACAGGCTACCAATATGTGAAAGAGGCGCAGGGGAGCCAGTCTAAGCTGACCATGGCATCGCGAGCGATGAATCAGTCCAGCACATACCAGTTCGCGAAGCTATACAGAGTGCACGGATCAGCCCATGGAGGGAAAAACAGCGCGTCATCCATCGATGGCGCAAAGACAAGAGATTACCTAGAGGAGATGACAGACGATCGAAGCAGAAGTTGAATCTCTTCAGTACCAGGAAGCCCCTGGATCAAATAATGAGCTTTTGACTGCATACATTTGAGAGTGGTCGAGCTCAGGAAGACATGGCGCAGAGAAACACTTCAGCATCTGCGTGCGGAGAAACTGGTGCGCAAGATCATGTCCGAGAAACTTGTGATACTAGCGAGTGGTTTTATTACATCAAAAATTTAGAGAAATAGACGTACGATGCATCAATTAGCACACTCCTTCTTCATGCACCCGCACCTTGACTTTCTCACCAAATTTGTCTCGACACACTTGTGTCCGTCAGCTCTATGGCCAAACACCACAGAAACTACTTACAATTCCATTTGCGAAACCCGGCGTAGACGTCCACATTTATAAGGGAATCAGTCACGGATATCCGAATGATATCTTCATCAGAATCCGTGAGTTTGTTCTATGGAAACTGGCTACGGTTCCCAACGTGAATATTTTCAAACCTATGCCGCTGGCTCTCGTTCTCGGGACAGCATGAGATGCTTAGCATTGACCTAATGTGCTTGGTATGTGCATCAGCACTTTTATCCTACACTCATCCCTCTCAACATGTTGAACAGGGCACAAATGATGACCGTAGAGCCTCATACGGCAACAGTCTCTTGTCTTGTGCGTGTGAAACCATATTGCGACAATCTAGGGTTCCTTACCATCGCTCAGTATCAGCTTTGAGACCTTTTCTGCAGAGCTGCGAATGTGCACGTACCAGCAAATACAAGTTCTTTATTGTTCTCCTCGCCTGCTCTAATGGCAGATTCCATGAAGAGTGTCCTGTCGCTACTCCAGAATATCCAATCGCAGACTTCCGCATCAAGGAGTCAGTGTTGTTGCCTGACTATACACGTCAACTATAGCACATCATCAGCACGACCCTTCTGTGTCCGTCAGATCAAAGCCAAAACATCAAAGGGACCACTCACAATGTCCTTGTTGAAACCAGACGTATACGTCTATGTTCGAACCTAGCGCTTACGAGCATGAGTCCATTCGAGGGAATATATCCTGATAATATCTTCGTTGCAATCCGGAGTTTGTGATATGCGAAGTTAGCCTGGAACCCATGTTTTCCTGAAAGGTCTTATGCAAGGCCATGAAGAATAATATATTGGTGGGAGTAATCCATAAGAATGCATGTAACAGTGGTGTCTTGTCATTAATGACGCTGTGTTCATAGCAGTTTGTGTGCAGAATCTCGCGTATATGGAACGTGATGCATAATTGCACGTCCAAACGGTGATGGTTGAACTTCCGCATGAAATGTTATAAACGGAATTAATAAGCCATGTCATTGAGCGTACTGAGAGGGTAGTTGCCAGACTCTAAGAGACTAAGTGATACCCTCAGGTACAAAAAGCTGGTCTCCCTGGGGGTATGATGGTACTACAGCCAAACCATTGATTCGTTGCATCCATATGGTCATCTAGCAACACAAGAACAGCGTAAAAGCACAGTAAAGGCAACCACGGCACCTCCTAATACAGGAAACTCCTGAAAAAGCGCTGAAAATCTCGCCAACCTGTATGCGGGTCCCGGGACACCACGTGTGTACAGCAAGGTCAACATGTGGATTGAATATCCTGTAGGAGATCCAACCTAACGACTGCTCACCAAAGCGCAGCCAAGTGATTGTTACTCCCTTGACGCTCCTGTTGACCGAGACACCGAACAAGAGTCAATGGCAGCCACCACGGGCAAAGCATCGTCCAAAGCGCCAACTCGAAAGGAACCACCTTATGTCCAAATGACGCTCAAGGGTCATGAAAATGATGTTGACAGCATAACTTTCATCGCTGGGACTCGTCTCCTTGTCACTGTCGCCCAAGACAAGACTCTTCGGGTGTGGGATCTGGACACGGGAAAACAAGTGGGAGAGCCTTTGTTGGGTCACGATGATGGCATCTGTAGTGTCGCAGGGTCCCCCGATGGGCGTTGGATTGTGAGTGGAAGCAGGAATGGAAGGATCCTGGTCTGGGAAGTTGCGACAAACAAGAGAGAGCTCAGAAGAGTGCCCATCTCGTTCAAGGGTGCTGCTTTGAGTCTCATATTTGCACCGGACAGCGAGACATTTGCAAGTACAACATGGGACTCAACGGTATGCGTGTGGAAGAGGGAGACGGGAAAAATGATCCTGGGACCACTCGAAGTGGGCAGTCATGCGTTCTCAGTGTCGTACTCCCCGGATGGGAAAAAACTGGTAGCAGGCACTCAGGCACACATCATCGTCTGGAATGCAGAAACGGGAAAAGAATTACTCAAAATAGAACAGGGGGCATACAGAGTCGCATTCACTCCAGATGGTCTCCATCTCATCAGTCTAGACGGCGACATCCGAATCTCAGATACTATCACCGGAGACACCATCAAACAGTTTGACCCACATACCGATGACATTTACTCACTATCCATTGCTCCCAATGGCACCAAATTCGCAACCACTTCACGCGACAAGACAGTTCCTCTGACCGAATCAGAGAAGGACTCCCAACAGGTGAGCAAATTCTCTTCTCGTATCATGCTTCGTACTGACCTGTCATACAGTCCACACAGACAATTCTCAAAGTACGTTTTCGTGCCCACCGATTTGTACGATCCCTGATTTTACTCCTGCAGAAAACCATCCCAAGCACACAGCCTCGCCCAAGACGTGCTCCAATACCGACCAGTGAGTTCTTTCGTGATGTAAGTCCATATGATACATTAGATTCGATGCACGTCTCACGATCCTTTGATAGTTTGATCCTGGACGCAATGACCGCGCTGCAACCACCACGCGCCATGCTGAAGGGTCCAGAATCAAGAACATGATGAATCGTCTTTTTTCTCGCTCTTCCTCTCCCCAGGGCCATACTCCTCGCCCACCCAACATTCCCCTTGTGGACGTCTCTGCTACACGGGGCAAATATGTAAGTTTGCCTGACCTTTCGACACCCGTCTCACGATGCTGATGTTGTCTCGCAGCGCACCGCTAATGCCCACAGTGGAAAAAGACATCTGCCGAGGCCTGTACAGCCTCGTCGGAAAGCCCACGCCGGTGCCTCAAGCAGCAGCACGGCAGCAGCAGGGACATCCAATGTGATGAGTGGATCCACATCGGGACCCTTGCAGACAGGCAATACCAATAATTCTTCTGCAACTAACAGACCCCCTTCTCCGCCGGGCGTCGAACATGTTCCACACACCAGTTGCTTTGCAGTTCTTGCAAGGTACTTCCCGCGTCTATCGCGCACTCGACAAACTCGTCCATCCGCTTCAGGTTCCCCTTAGACTTCCTGTCCTTTCCCTCGTTGCTGCAGATATTACTTCAAGATGTTTCTGACATTCGATGATGCTCCCGGTACATACCTCTTACCATACACACCATTCACTCGTTCAGCCGAAAGATATCAGTTGTAACAGGTTTCTTTATTTGCATGGATTGCTTGTACTAGCAGAATATATAACATTTGAGAGCCTTGCATGGCGTCTCATTACTCGCATGACCAACCTAGTGTATTAACGAGGTATCTATAAACTGATGCATACAAAAAACATAGTGCATTGGATGTCCTGATTTCAACATCCCCAGCATAAGCATAAAGTACTTAAAAGTCAAACACCGCGCACGGGGAGAGTAGCACGCAGATCACTACGCAGACATACGCATGTAACGCAACATTCGTGCACGCGACGAGAAGACTGTCGCATAACAACCACCGGCTCGCTCTGAAGAAAGAGAACTACCTGAAGACACCGACAGGCTGCCAAGATGCGACAAGAAGTGCAAGGGAGCTGGCCTAGCTGGTCATGGCGTCACCAGCCACGAACCAGTCCCACATATACCAGCTCGCGCAGTCGTAGAGTGCGCGTGTAGGATCCGCGGCAGTAGAATAGCTCACGTCATCTAGAACACAGTCATGCCCGATTGCGTTCCCGCATACTGGCTCTTCACGTCGTCAAGGTCTGTCGTGCCATCCTGGCTCTTATAATCATACCCGCTCATGCTGGCCACGTCAGAAGCACCGGCAGCAGAGGAGAAGGAGCCACGCCTCTGTAAGCGATCTGACTGCGAGAATGCCATGGCAGAACCGCCGATGCTTGCGGTGCTTGGCGGTCCAGCATCCTGGGAGATGATGGAACTGGCGTAGCTGCCGTACGCACTGCGCTTCCCAACACCCCCAGAGCCACGCGGTATACCAGGACCAAATCCACCAGCTGCAGCGAACATGGGAAGCCCAGAAGAATAAGTGGCTTGCGAGCGTAGAGACTGCACGTCAGACGGGATGTATCCAAGAGCATCATGGGTGCGGTAGAAACTAGTGTCGAACCGACTTGGTGTACCAGATCTGCCTGCACCTGCAGTGTTGGGGATATAGTCCCGTGCATTTGTCTCGTGGCGACGGAACTGGTCCATGGACTTCACAAGGGAGCGACGAGGTTTGCTGAATTGGATCATGCTCGGCTGTAAGTTGTTCAGTGGGCCCTCGACAAGGGTATTGTGTTCCTTGTAGTGCGTAAGAAGGTAGTGCCACAGTGGATGCTACAAGAATCGATCAGCGAACTGCAGGATCAACTACCATATTGACTTGCCTTGCTGAGGACCTTTGGATTTCCAAGGATGACGACCCCGTACTTTGCACGAGTTAAAGCCACGTTCAAACGACGAGGGTCATTCAAGAAACCGATGCCCTGGTGCTCGTTGCTTCTAACGCAGCTCAAAATAATATAATCCTTCTCTCGTCCTTGGAAGGCGTCGACACTGGCCACCTCGATGTCCTTATACAGCTCCTTCTTGAGAGACCCGTTGAACTGCATATAGTTGACAATATAGGAACGTTGACCCTCGTACGGAGTGACAACGCCGATTTGATTAGGCACGACACCCGACTTGAAGAACTTGGTCACGATCTTCTCGACGTTTGATGCTTCCGTCCTGGGACCAGTAATGAGCAGGTGCAAATAGTAAACGATAGCATGGGAAGTACCTATTGAGGAACGAAGTTCCACTGGAGGATATTTCTTCCTGACCAAGGTTCTGGTAGAAGAACATCGGGGTGTCCGGAGCGGGCCACGGGAAATCAACATTCTTGCGAAGACGCTCGGGAGCAGTGACGCCGTTCTGTAGTGTGCCCTCATAGAACATGTTTGAGGGGAACTCAGACAAACAAGGGTGCATGCGGTACTGCACTTGCAGACGAATGGGTCTATTGCCGAGTACAACCAGACGTTCGAAGAGCGATTGTGTCAGACCAGCGCGCGCAGCTTTTTTGTTCATGATAACCGGTCCAAGCTGCTGATGATCGCCGACGAGGACAACCTGCTTACACCCAAGTACCAGAGGGATCATACATTCTGGTTCAAGGTTAGTTAATGACTAATTCGTTAAAGGATAAAAGCTGCGCACCTGGCTCAGCAGCTTGCGTGGCTTCGTCGATTAACACCGTCCTGAACTTGAGTTTGTTGAGGCGAGGATCACCAGCACCCACGCACGTGCAGCAGATAACATCCGCAGCACCCAAAATCTCCTTCTCGCACTGCCTGATCAATGTCTTGTACTTCCTCTCATCGTTGGAGCTCAATTCTCCCTGTTCGTTCTTCAGCATGATCAACTTCTGCAACTCCACGTGAGTTGTGTTATTTGCCACTTGTTGGTGCAGGGTCAAGAACGCGACGCTAGAGTCTAGGGCTTCGCGAGATTTGGCGGTCAGACGCACAACCTTCAAACCAGTGGCGTGAATCTTTTCAGTGAGCTGGTCAACAGCCACGTTCGACGGTGCGCAAACAAGAACTTGACCAGGATTCATCTTGGCAAGATGATACACGATTGAAGCAGAAGTTACGGTCTTTCCAGTACCAGGAGGGCCCTGGATCAAACTGATGGGCTTCTGCAGAACGCTTTTGACTGCATACATTTGAGAGTGGTTGAGCTCGGGAAGACCTGGCGCAGAGAAACGTTTAGGCATCTGCGTGCGGAGAACCTGGGGGGCAAGATCATGCCCAAGAAGCTTGTGATACTGGCGAGGGGCTTAGTGACTTCAATAGGATATAGAGGGATGAACGTACAATGTAACCATTCACGCTCTTCTCATCGACTGCAAACGTCTTCATCGCCAACTGCATCCTATCAAAGCTGGTAGATTTCCAGACAAAATCTGCCGCAAAGTTATGAGTGCAATCGGTAGGTACACCCTCGGTTCGTCGTAATTCAAGCCCAATCTCGTCGGAAATGTCTAGAAAATAAGCATAAGTACAATACCTTGTCTCGTGATGTAAAGCTTACTGTTCGGAATCTTGATAACGTGTCCTACCCCATCCCAAGCTTTATGCAGTTCGCCCTGGTACCTCAACCGTAATTCATCACCCACTGCAAGTCTGACTTCACCACTCTCAAGCTTGGGCAAGCAAAACCACGCAACTCTCTTCTGGTTCAAACCAACATCCCATCGAACAGTGATATCAGTCTGAGTCTGACTCTCCTTCAAGCGTTTATCATAATCAGCCTCGATCTTGACAAGAGGTCCGAAAATATTCTGGTACTGATATGCGTCCTCGTAGTGGAGAAGGATAGGCTGCGGTTCATCGTCGACACCGGGCTTCTCGAGGTCCTCCAGCGTGGCGTTGGCGTTTTCACGCCATAGATCTTCTAAGCGATTGATCTGGTTGAATGATATCTGACGAGATCGAAGTTGTTCGGTTTCGGTGGGAGGCTTCACTAGCCACGAAAGGAAAGATCTGTCATCGATCAACGGTGCCCATAGGGAAGCGTTCCAAGACATATCCTTGCTGACTGTCGCACAGGGCTGGCTGTATATATCCCATGAATATGACGAGTCTCAATACTAGCCTGGCAGACTCACCGACACAGAAGGATAACAACAGTATCGCTCTTTGCGGGGATAAATCCCAGCATAAACACATTTTTGCTTCCACAATTATAGCATTCCGGAGTGGTTTCCCCGAGCGGGCTCTCGGCATGCAAGATCACCTCCTTATGCTTTGCGCGTACTAGATGGTTCACGATATGTGAAGCGGAAGTATTGCCGCGCGAGTTGCAGAACCATTTAGAGCACACAAGACACTTCACGACGGAGGCTGGCGAGTGAATTCCGCAATAGCTGAGTGGAACCGATATGGATTGAGTCATGTCCCTTGAATAATACGTATAAAACTTACCTGCAGGCATGAGGAGGGAGATCTACGGTACCCTCGTCTTTGAGGTCGTCAAGAACAGCATAGAAATCTTCGTCTACACCAGTTCTTGGCGTGTGATGGTGGTGCCCTTCGTGTCCATTGTTGTACGAGGATGTTTGGGAGCGATCGTCTACGATGGAGAGGCTTTCTAGGTCGACTGGCGTTCCAATGTTGGTAGTTGCAGTATAGACAGAGGAATTATCGTCTACGACGCTGGTAGCGCCGCCGTACGATGAAGCAGAGTCCGTATATTGAAAGTTGTCGAAACTGTCCATGGTGGTTTGCGGTAAAATGTTCTTTACGGCTTGCCACCTCAGCATCATTAAACATTTTCCCACACTCAGATCCAAGCATGGGGAAATTGATTCCGCGGACAAGATTCAGTTGCAACAGTCCTCAGGCTCGAATACAACAACGAATGAATTTTAATTCTATTGCGACTGATACAAATGTTTGAATACTGCGAATGACAATGATCCAAGTCCCCATCCATACGGACGTCAAGATGCCACAAAATATGTACCGCCAGACATAATGAAAACAGCCAGATAAAATAAAAAAGAGAATGAGCGACTTTGGTTTAGGATGCATTACATACAATTAACGCCTTTGCTTCTGGCGTATTCTGGGACGCGTGGGCGTCTCATTGATGGGTGGTAAGCGTGCAGGGATTCCATCCGCTGGGTGCGAGATTGCTCTGCCTGAAGGTTCGCCAAGGACTGGGCGATTGCGTTGATGACCAGAGGGTTTGGAAGGGGGCGCCCACTTTGATGCCCTGATGCCTTCCACTCGCTCCATTGGCACATCTTCGACTTCGACAGCTAGCGGTTGGCTGCTGTCACGCGCACATTCCTGAGGTTCTTCGGGCTCTGCAGACTCCTCAGAAACTTCAACTTCGAGGTCCTGGTCCATGGCGTCTACATCTGCTTGTTCTATTTCCTCCACCTCATCTTCCTCCTCAGTGTCGTCATCATAGAAACCACTTGGAGGCTCTCCAATCCATTCATCCTCATCAGAGCCAAAGTCCCACACATCAAGCACTGTAGCAGGATTTCGATTGCTGGCAGCAACACACCAGCGGCCCTCGAAGACCACCTGCCAAACACCCTGGATGCCTGTCAGGAGATCACGGACGACGGAACCATCGCGCACGTTCCACATCTTGAGCGTACCATCTGACCCGCTGAGCACCTTGAACTCGTCATGTTGGAAGCACGTAATAGCGCCCGTATGGGCAGCAAGGGTGTGGCGCAGCTCTCCAGATTCAGGATCCCATATACGCAAAGTAGAGTCGGCAGCGGCGGAGACGAGGTGGGAAGGGGAGAGGCCGAGCAAGCCGACGAGCGATGTGTGCCCAGTCAATGTATGTTGACACTGTCCTGTTCGTAAGTTCCAAACACGAACAGTGCCATCCATGGACCCCGAACAGGCGATCTGACGGTGGATATCAAGTACAACGCTATATACTAGTGACGACGCTTTAGTAACAGGGTTTTGAGGTAAACAGGGATACAAACCTTTCTGTGTGTGGCCCACAAGCACCCATTTACATTCGCCAGTGACGATGTCCCATATTCTTACAGTACAGTCATAGCTGCCAGATACAAGGGTGCGGCCACGGGCGGCGAGGGCACGAACTGCGTGGTCATGACCTTCTAGATGCATTTTATGATACGGATTATCATCTGCATCCTCCTGCATCGAAGATATGAGAACAAAATACGAATTGCTTTATACGAATCTTACGTCAGCTGGGTCAGCCTCAGAGTCATCTGCACCATAGCATCTGTACTCAGGATCGTCGGGACGAGGTAAAGTCCACACACGAAGGGAGTGATCACGGCTGCCAGTCACGATCACTGACCGCTTTGGCCATTTTTCCTTCGTTATGACACCGCCCTCGCCTTCGATTTCGATCCACTCTGGCTTGACGATAGCCAGACATCGGACAGTGCTCGTATGGCCGCCAAATATATGCGTACATCGACCAGTTGCAAGATTCCAAATTCGGACTGTGCGGTCAGTCGACCCACTGACGAGCGTGTCTTTACAAGCGGCAAGCGCCCACACGCCACCTTCATGGCCATCCAGCATTTGCAGGAGTTCACCTGTCAAAGGGGAGTACACATGAATTGAGTGATCATCGGACGCGGATATTATGCGTCCGTGTGAAAGAAGAAGACAAGTGACAACAGAGGAACCGTGTGCGGGGAAGGATCGATGTTTCGGATTCTCGTTGTCCACCCATCGAGTTCGAGTGAGTTGTCGGGATTTGAAGAGCATCTTATATGGATGAGAGAGGGGAAGGGTCTGGGGAGTAGGTGATATATTGAGGCGGCGTCTGGCATAGATCGAGTGCGCAAAAGCTCGCTCTG